TTGCTGGAACTCGACCTGGGGCAGAGGAGGGTAATGCTGGCCAAGTCTCTCACGCCGTTTAACTGTGCTTTTCTCACGGCTTTCCCAGAAGAGCCATCTGGAGCCTTCCCCTGCGAAGCTGTTGGTGGGGTGGATCCACGTGACGTTTTTCACGGGCTCTCCACGTTCCTTCGGTGCCGGTGTTGCTCACCAATTCCTTATATCCTTTCCCAAGACCCTTCCGAACGCAGCATTGCTCCAGTTGCCCGGGCTGGAACTGGGGACAGGGGCTGTACCCAGCAGCTGGTTGTTCGTCCGTCTCATCTTTCCGTTTCCTTATGACCCTTGAGGACCGTCCGGTCCGAGCAGTCGTTGCTGTTTCTTTCCAGACTCTTTAATCTCTTCGAGGTGGATCTTCTCACGTGTACCCCAAAACTTCCTTAAGTCCTTCAGTGCTATACGCAGGTGTAAAATCTTAGTTTAGTTCTTGTTGCTGCTGTCTCTGCCACCAGGATCATGTGCTGGCTGTGGAGACACATGGGAAAGCTGACATACACTTTTTTTCCCCTTTTTTTCTCACACCTTCATGCTGAACTTGCAGATTTCTTTCCATCCTCCCCAGAACGTGCCGTCAGCGCTCAGGGACGCTCTCCTTCTCGTGGCTCTCTTGTTTAGCTGTGCATCTTCAAGTCTGAGAAACGCTTCCTCCCAGCAGGCAGTTATTTCTCTATGTAGCTGCCACACTGCTTGGAAAGAATGTCAGCCTTTGGCTGCCCCTGTAGCTTCTTATCAGGCATCTTCTGGGGTCACTTCCCTCTCCAAAATGTGGTCTGCCAGGAGTGGGGTTCTCATTCCTCTTGCTCCTGTGAAGATACTGAGTTCAGCTGCACCGTGGGCACCACTTGTAACACAGCTCCTCAATGGGAATATCCAAACCCAGGTCCTGTGTGTTGTTCAGGACCATGTTAAGGGCATCTGATGGCCTTGGACTTGCACGTGGTGTCTTGAACTCAGCTTTGGTGTAGGGGTGGTAACGCCCTGGAGCGTTATTTGGGTGGGGAGGTTTTAATTTACTCTCTTCTGTGCTTGCAGCTCCCTTCATCTCCTCTAACACAGATCACTGTTGCAGGGCTGCCTGGGATGTTGCCTGTGGCACTTCACACGGGTGGATCCGGGATCTTGATCCGCAGGGATTCCCTAATGCAGCAGAACTGGCTTGTTCAGCTGCTACGATTTCAGACTGCTCAGATGTTCGTCTTTCTGTGGGCTTCATACCTGTCTCTTAGTGCCCCATGACTGTCTGCCTTCTGCTGAGTTTCTGATAAACCTACTGTTAGTATCCCAAATTTTGCTTTTCCACCTGTTCCTTGAACTTGTAGCTTCTGTGCAAAGGTGTGGGTGTGTGTTTTGACTTTCTGGTTCCCTGCTGCCCTGTTCTATGTGGAGCTGCTTGTCCCAGCGGCTCGCTTTCTACTTTATTTTGCTAAAATGTGTTCTGTTCTCCTGAGAACAGTGCTCTCACACTGGTGCATGATGTCCAGGGCTGTTTGCTCACCTACAGCTTTTTTCTGAAACCGTTGATTGAGGAGCAGATAATAGTAGACAGCGTCATAGAAGTCTCAGTCTGAAGGTTCTGGTGTTTATTTGCAGTGCGTCTCTAGGACGTGTGCTCCGTGCACATCTTAGGATCTCCTTTCCTTCTGTGAGCCAGCAGTAAGGACTGCTTGTAGAGATGAGTTCTTTTAGCAATCTCTTAGGTGTTGGGGGTGCGGGGGGGGTGTTAGGCTAAAGGCAGTAGTTCTTGCTTAGCAGGACTCTTTCAGCCTAGAGCCAGGTGGTTTCAGAGCTGCTCTGTTCTGTCTCTCGCTGCAGGTGACCGAGAGCTTCCTAAGCAAAGAAGTCACCTATGTGGTTTCCAGCAGCAAAGAAGCCAAGCGAGACAAAGCCAAGACTCGAACTGAGAAGTGGAACGATGTAGCTTCAGAGGATGCAAAAGCCACGAGCCCAATGCCGTCAGCCACCAAAGGGAACCATACCAGACCTCACCAGAAGCCGCCAGACACTGTAAGAGCTATAAAGGTTTAGGCCACCCCAAAGTTTGGCCCAAGGGATCTGTAGAGTAGAACCTGAGACCAGTGTTGGAAGGTGAAGCAAATATGCTTGCCCTGAGCAAATATGTTGTGCAGTTTTTTTTTCCCCTGGTCTTGCTGTTCCTATTTGTACCAATGTTCCTTGTATCTGCGCATTGTTGTCCACTCAAATGTGGCCCTTATAGCTTCGAGCTAGTAAACAAGGATATCTGCTCAAGTGGTAGAGGAAACAGAGGGCTTGGTTGGCTTCCCAACAGAACAGGCAATCATCCTGATGCAGAGGTGTGTCTAGAAAAGCCAGAGAAATGCAGACAAGATAAAACCGTTGCAGGCTCTGGATGCGTGCTCAGGGGCACAGGTAGGGCAAGGCTGGTGTAACTTAGAAGGAGATCTGCAAGGGCAGCTTGCAAGACGGTATTTGTCTAGGTCCTATGCGCCCTGCTGGAGCCGGGCTTTCTGGTCAGTAGTGCTTGTGGCCAAAGCTCCAATGTCCTGCATGGAACGCTGGTGCCTGCTGGAAGCTGTGTCTGTGGGGAGAGCCTACTACCCCAGTCTAGGCCACAGGCATCTCTGCCAGCTGGGTCTGGACTGCCCGCAGGGGGGACGCCTGAGCTGATGTCAGGGGTTTCACTCCCTCAGTGTTTGTTCCCCTGTCCTTGTTACAGCACTGTCCACTTGTCTTGCAAAAAGCTTAACCTGTTTGCTGAAATCATTGGCTCTCAGATGAGACTCGGTTCCCAGGAAGGGCTAGCAAGGATGTTCCTAACCCCTGCCAGCATGTAGAGATGTGGCAAGCAGATTTTCCTGGCTAAGTTGCTGCTTCCTCTTGGCTCGCCCTGCAGTGCTCACTGCTGTTTGATAAAAGCCAAGCCTTGGCTGATCAGCTGCTTGGTGGAGACCTAACGGGTCCCTGCGGTTTGCATTCCCTGGAAGCGCTCGGTGCTGCTATCTTGGAGATGGAGTCTTGGCCAGCCTCTTCTCCCCAGCAGAGAGAGGGCATCACTGGAAATCATTCCTATTGGACAGCCACGCTATCCTCAGCTTGCTGCTGCCCGGTAGCTCTTTGCTTTAACATAGAACTTGGCTTCTTTCTCTGCAGGCTCTGATCAGCAGGGGAAAGGAACTGCTGCAGAAGGCCATGAAGAATCAGGTGAGCAGCATGTGGACGGGCTTTTCTCTAGCTGGGTACGTTCAAAGAACTGCTGAGCAATGCAGAACCAGTGCCAGCCGCTTCTCCAGAGCCCCTGTCCTGCTGACAGGAGCAGATTCTAGGGCTGGTAAAAACACGAAGCAGTCGCTTGTGGCCTGCAGAATATTGTGCCGTGCTCCTCGTCACTGTTCTTCACGGAGCCATGTTGTCCATCCATGTTCGTATTCCTAAGGCCCATCTCGGTGATCTGAGTGCTCAACACAAGAGAATTCCCAATGCAAGACCCATTGTTAGATGAATTTTTAGCCCAAAAAGAAATAAAGCCACATAGCTGGGGCAAAAGGCTCCCCTGCAGTCCTTTCACTGGTGTCACAAGTGGCCAGAAGTATCTCAGTGCCCACTTAGAAGCTCATGCTATAGCAGGGATTAAAATTTGACCTAGATGCCAGTGGTAATTTGGGATAGATAAAGCACAAGTTCAAACCTTTTCTATGCCCTGATTTTAATAACAGCTACGCAATGGTCTGTCAAGTGGGCAACAGGAAAATCTCTCAGCTAGATTTAGAGCTGCGTGTGCTCGCACAACCGTCCCTGCCTCGAGCTGTACCTTGCCAAACCTCTCTGTTTGTACAGGACACCTGCAGTGGCAGCAGTATCCTCGCCAACGCGCGCCTGTGGGGAGTCCAGATCTTGCACGTGGATGGTATCCTTCTCTGTAGGCTGGGATTTCGCTGTTGGTAATGAGCGATTTTTGGGACAGGTGGAGCAGAAGCGATGTAGCGAGTGTGACACAGGAGAAAGAAGAAATTGCAAGCAATCTCTGGTACTTGGCTGATGCCGTGCTGGCCGTGGCTAGCTAGGTCTGCCCTTCAAAAACCAGATCAACTTGTACAGATAGAACATGCTACTACCACATTTACAATAGCACACACTGAATATGTTGTAATATACCGGAGCTGTAATATTAGAAAATGTTAATAGCTTGGTCAGTGCATTAATTTGTTCCCAAAAGACTGTTTTTACTAATTGACCTGGAAGTACAGATCATGCTAATGGCAGGACTTGGTCATTTTTAATTAGCAAGTGCTGATGTTTGAGGACCTGTGCTGGAAGGCGCTTCCCGTCTTGGTGATGAACGGGCAGGGGGTGACAGGAAAGACAGATGGTGACACTGTGGTTCTAATAATAGCTCTGGAGTAAAAGGTTCCTGAGTGTCCAGTGACAGTGACATACAGCCGTGGCTGAGCTTGTCTGGGTGTGTGGCGGAGGCAGCC